CATATCACATATTCATGCACAATGCATCCACACGTATTCCGATTATTACGACCGTTCACGGCCACGACCGACACTCGCATCGGTGGTCTTCCGGCGTAACCGGGCATCGTCCCGCTCCATCAGGCACTGTAACATCTCGACCTCACTCGAAGACGGCATTCATTTAAGAGCATCGTTCCGAAATCTATCCGCAAACGGCATCCGAAATCCATCGAGCATCCAAAAAGTAACCGGGCATCATCTCCCGTAATCATACGGGTACGGAACTATTTATGTGATCACGCAAGCATATCAAGCACTCAAGCCAATTATTGTCTTTCATTTAAGCCAACGCAAGAGTGTTTAATGGTCACACAGTTTAGAACATCTAAAATCCCGCACACACAAAAATGCACAAAAATAATCACATGAGCACATACACTTTACCTTGACCCCCATAATATATACGTGCATCCAGGAGACATATAAATTCGCACAGCAATCAATAACGAGAATAAGAATAGAGGAGGCATTCCGTGAGCAAACCATACAAAATTTATACATGGACTTCCTCTTCCTAGAACAAGCAAAACAAAGCAAGATAAGCATTAGTATCACCCAATGATGGTTCCAATTAAGCTTCCATAGCCACGTGATCCATCCATAACCATTCCTAGCCAAGGATAGCCATACACATGATAGAACATAATCTCATAGCAACAATTTCTCACATTCCGGCAATCACGTGGCAAGATTAATCCTACCTTTCAATCAACTAGGCACGCGATCGACATACTAATTCCTGAACCTCATACCTCAAGCATAACATGAGCAAACCATACAAGATTGCTATACAGCTTCCTTTTCCTAGAACAAACAACAATCAACCCTAACAATTACAGAACCTAAACTCGAAACTTAATCCAACTATGTAGAATCAAGTCCGAACCAAGGTATAGATGATCTACCTATGACACAAGCAATGTCATGGTCGAATGAGCTCAAATAATATTCAACCTAGGTCCGAAACACGTAGAATAACACCCTATCTATGGATTAGAAGAACTACTTACTAAACCGAGTGAACTACGGATGATGAGGAGTGAACGGCGACGGCGAAGAGGAGCGGTCAGCGGTGAGACTGCACGACGGCGTCACGGTGGTACGGTGATGGCGACGAGGATGGCGCGACGGTGAGCGGCCAAGAGGATGACGCAAATGGACGGCGACGAGCGGCGGCACGGCGCGACATTGGGCGAACGGCGATGGTCAGTGTGCGACGCGGCGGTGGTGAGAAGAGGGCGTGAGAGAGAGGAGGTGAGAGAGAGAAAGAGAGAAATAAGAGTAAGTGAGAGTGAGTAAAATGAGAGAAATTAGAGAAGTGAGAAGGCTTCCTTGAGTTTGAGAGAGAACAATAATGCAATTGCATTAATGACTCTATTATCTACCCTAGTCAAGTTTCCTTAATTTGCTCCCATCCAAGCAAATTCATGGCCAATAGGTCATCTTGCAAGCTTCCTCAACAAGTCTCACTCTCAGGCTATCATGGCTACCAAAATAGGCTCAAGCATTTAATTGGGGACTAACCAAGAAAACCAAACTAGAAACCAACTGAGTTGATCTCTTCCTCTCCTTTCCCAAAGTGGCGCCCGACCTTTTCCAAACAAGACCAAATTTCGGTCTCTCCCCAAACAAAGCTTCTAGAAGGTGCATTAAATGCTAAACTATAGGTTACTAAACATATAACACTATTCATGCACATGGCACCTTAATGTGAAATCTTCTAAAAATCAACAAAGAGTCAAATGTGGGCAAGATGGGCTTTACCCTCTTGCTTGGCGCCTAACAAGGCCAAACAAGTCCATTGGACTTGTCTTGGGCGCAGGCCTTCGTTGAGCTTCCAATGCTTGGCTCGTGTCCACTTGTCCAGGATTAACGGCCCAATGATACGTAATTAAGCGTCGTCGGATTGAGGATGTCACAACTTTAGAAAGTAGAGCTTTGAAGGTTGTTCAAGGTGCCATGGTAATAATGAAAGGAATCAAGCATAATGCCATGTATGAAATTCAAGGTGAGATAGTAACAAATTTTGCCGTGGAGACATTGAGCGCATCTATTCGAGAGTATGCTTTTGGGGCACATTAGCGAGAGAAGCCAGAAGGTTATAAGTGAAAGGAATTTGTTGTGTAGTTATATTGCTAGCAAACTAAATGTATATAGGTGTTGTGACTTAGATCAATGGCAGAAAATGCAGTTCAATGCAACTGTCAAAGAAATTACGGAGATCGCAGAGTTAATACACTTGGATGTTCATAGGCTATCGCGGTTTCCTTTGAGGAAGAGTGCCAAATTTATGTTAACAATTGTGGATGATTACTCGAGGAAGACTTAGGTGTTGAGGGAAAAATTTGATGTAGTTGTTAAGAATAAGCAGTTGAAAGATTTGATCGAAAGGAAACTGGTAAAACGATCAAGCATATGCAAGCTGACAATAGAATGGAGTTCTTCTCGGAGATGTTAAAAGAATTATGTATGAAGGAAGGTATAACACGACACTAATGTCATTGAACCATAATAGGTTGCAGAGTTGATGAGCAAAACATTAACTCTGATGTTTGCTATGATTAGAGGTTTTGACAAACCCCCTGATGGTGGAGTTGGAGAGAAGGTTTGGGACCCTATGGATCTCGACCCTCCGGATGGAACCGTTTCTGATCTAGAGATCGATTCAGATGACATGGAGTCCGATCCGAAGACACCTCCTGGATACCATCAGCTTGGGTGATGGGTTTGGATGGCCCATCTTTTTGGCCACCCCCTTTTGGTTAGAGGAGTTAAGTTAGCTCAACCACCCAATCCATTTTTGTATGTGTGGTCTGCTAGGAAGTGGCCTTCTGATAAGGCTTGTATTTAGGAATCTTCCTGGGGTTAATGAAAGGTTTATAAAATGGCTTTGTTGTTTCGTATCTCAAAGTGTTTTCCTTACTATCCCACTTTGTTCAGTGTTATTGAGGAGTTTGAGTACGCTTCTGCATACGTTTAATTGAAAGATAAAAAGAATGGCAATGCGTCCTAGGACGTCGTAACTAGACGACCATGGAAGGATGTTGACGCGCTCGTAGGTTCGGGGCGTGACAATTTATGTTTCCATTTTAGGGAAAAAAAAAAGTACCAAAAAAGTCCTAAATCTATTCCATTGATGCCAATTTAGTCATAAACCTCTTTTTTGTGCCAAATTAGTCATAAACCTTTTGACGTAGTGCCAATTTTGTCCTTCTGGCTAATTTTGGCAAGATATTGCTAACATAGATACTGGCAAACTTACGTGGCATGAACGGCACTAACGTGAAAAACTTCTATAATATTTTAGTATTTTTTAAATATTTTATTTTTTATTTATTCTTTTATTTTCTTTCTTTTTCTTCCTCCTCTCCCTTCTTCCTCTAGCTGGTTGTCGAACCTCGAAGACTGACCAGAGGCTAGCGAACCTCACCAGCGACGGCGAGGGTCGAGCCTCGCCATGGTCGGGCGACCTTGCGGCCTCTAGCGAGGCTCGTCTACGCTGTCGTTGGCAAGGGCGAGACCTCTCGATCGACTAGAGGAAGAAGCGAGGGGAGGAAAAAAAGAAAAAGAAAGTAGAAAAAGAACAAATAATTTAATATTCAAAAAAATACTAAAATATAATTAAAAGCTGTCCATGTCAGCACCGATCATGTCACGTAGGCCGGCAGACATCCATGTCAACAATATTCAACCAAAATTAGTCGGAATGACTGAATTGGCATTTTGTCAAAAGGTTTATGACTAAATTTACACACACAAAAAGTTTAGGACTAAATTTATACTAATACAATAGGTGTACAACTTTTCTGACACTTTTCCTCTATTTCAGGCAGCTGCAATAGATCATTTGGTTTTGTAGGATTAACAAGGACATGCAGATATATCGTGGAGAGAAAGCTAGCTATTAATTATTTCATGGTCTCGGTGATTCTAATCCTATCAAAGAGACAAAGGCTGACCTAAGTTATCCATGATTTTAGGTTTTTACTCTAGGAATAATGGCCTAGACATCCACGATAAGTAATTAAAGTATTTACTGTAGACATATTTACTTAATGTAACTGTGTGCATGACATTGAGATCTTGAAACAAAATTTAACTCTATTAAATCATCAATGCAAAATCAGGCTACTGATCACTGGTTTCTTTTTCCAAGAAAATCAAAACATGTGAATGCGGCTCATCTTTATTATAGTACTCTGTTTGCGCAAAAACTTAAGGCGTGAGTAAAGGGGATCAACAAATAGCGTCTGGGATGCATTGATGACCATGGACCAGTTGTAGATACACGATAGCAACTAGTTGCTGATTGTCACAACAGAGTTGGTCCACAAGGATATTAATTGAAAGGAATTGAATGATTACCGATTGAGAAACCAACTGAAGACTGAATGTCTGGAGGGTGCTAAACTTAATTATGGTATTCAAATTTGAAATTCAGTCCAGCAAATCGTGGAAGAAGAATAAAGCTAATTCGCATGAAATTCAAAGTGGTAACATATAGCCGGGGAAGGGAACAATCACTTGGAGCTAAGATCATATGGAACCAAGATTCTCGGAGATGTGAAAGCATGGTTAAAACTACAAAAGAATTGCTCACAGGTAGTTATGTCGTGAACACTATAAATACCGGTGTTCGTCTACTAAAGACCACTATTTATGGCTATAGTTCCCAGATACTTCGTCATCGATTAATTTTGGCGTGTATGTAGTTTTTGGGTGACTCGTCATCGATTAAATTCCGACGTTGCTTTTTATGTTCTCAGGCTTTGTTTTCGATTAAATTCCGACAAAATATGTGTACTCTAATTTCCGTTTGAAGTGAAATACTGGTTCCCTTGTGACTTGTGATATTTTATGATTGAAATCGCCATAGAACCCGTCTCATTTTATAAAATTTGAAGAACAATTTTTGGTGAAATGTATCTCATCGCAGAGAGGCAAATTCCGACAAAACATACCCAATAATCAAATTATCATAATCTGATACCCTTGACATTAACACCTGGAAGACACAACGGGTAAACCCAGTACATAGCCGAGGAAAAGAAACTAGGAAACCTAGCAGATGAAATTCACGCTTGCAGTGCCGTTGGCTGGATGTCTGCATCACCTTGATATATCTTCTTCTCTTGCCATGGCAAAAGGCAATCAACCTTGACGAAATACAAAGAAAATACAAGCACAAAATGATCTGTGAGATTACCGGTTTGATTCATGGCCTTTTTGCCGCCTTGAAAGTTAAGCCAGAACCTCCCAGCTTCTCCTCCAAAACCTTTGACAACTGCTCCTCCATTGGTGGGGACAAGTAATTGACCCAGTCTCCAATCTCAGCCTTCCTGAACAAGTTCTTGTTCTCAAAGTTCATGATCGATTTCCCAGATTTGTTCACTTCAAGCTCCTTCATCTTCTCAAAGCTGCACAGCTCAGCTAAATCTTCAACCACACCATCCTTCTCTTCCTGGACGGGAAACGGGTACCCAAGAAAGACGGCCAACTTTTTCAAGTGGGACACGATGTCTTCCTTCATCTCTTCATACTTCAAGAACATGACCTTGTCGGGCCTCTTTAAACTCTCATTCCAGTACCCCAACATGTGGTCCCAGAACGGGCCGAAGCCCATGGCGCCGTTGCAGTACATCTCGAAGGCTTCTTCCAGCTGGAACGTGGGCAGTGAGTCCGGCTTCACTTTGTTGAGGTAGATCCAGGAAGAAACAAAAGTGTCAAATGGGTTCCTGCAAATGTAAACAATCTTGCATTTGGAGTTTTTTATGGGGTCAGCCAATGCCGAAAACGGGATGTGGGTACCGAAGATTCTAGGTTCAGGGAATTTTGAGAGATCAGGGAGGTCATTACTTGCATAGACCTTATACTCAAAGAAAGGCACAAGATCATGTGGATTTGAAGTGAGCAAAGGATGGCTCTTCTTCTTCGAGATTGGGTATTTCTCACGGTTTGCAATGGCAAACGCGAGTGCTTTCAACCACGTGGTGCCTGATTTTGGGATGGTGGAGAGGACTATGTCACTGTCTAGTGCTTGGAAATGTCTTTGGAATGATAATATGGATTGGATTTCCTTGGGTTGGCACCAAAACCCTTGGAAGAGATAGATATGTCTTGTTCTCCACCCCTTTTCTTTGGGGAGAGAGAGAAGCAAGTCCTTGCACTCATTGCTCAGATCTTGATCGTCTTCAACTCCTTCAGTTGTTGATTGCTTCTTTGGGGACTGTGTGATAGCCATTTTTGTTGGTGGTGGTAGTGGCTGTGAATGGCATGCAGAAATGGTCGATTTGATACGTACTTATATGGAAACGGTACCCTTCATTTCCTCTTGTCTCGGGCGGGTGATAAAATGACTTTGGAGTCAGACTTCTTTACCTTAGTCAACAACATGGAAGCTTCGCAGAAACTGCCGTGGGAACAGAGGGCCCTCATCTGCGAAGCTCGTGAACTGCTTCTTTCTTTCTCTAATATTAAGCTCCAATATTGTAATAGAAATAGAAATAGAGTGGCGGACTGGATAGCGAAGGCTTACAGGAAAAAAAAAGCTCTCTCAACACTGGTTGACTAGTCCACCGCAGGCCCTCACTGAACTGCTTTGTTTTGAGACCCCGTTACAGGGTTCATCTGTCTCTGGTTATTAATGAAAAGCCTTTAATTATGACCAATATATATATATATATATATGGAAACGGTTCCTCTGCTATGCTACTGTTGAACTTGACACGTGGATAATGAGCTGTGCTCATTTATATTACGGTTTCGTCTTAGGATACTACACACAAATTTTAAACTTGCACAACATGATTGAAAACGTGAAATTTAACAAATGCCTTGAAAGTACTGTCAACTTTTACTGTGTTATTAGCATATTCAATGACATGTTAAATTCAATGCACCTTAATCTTAAAAAAAGGGTTTTTCGTCAAGTAGAGATCTATCTTAAGTAGGCATTATTGATCACATGACTGGTATCTTCGGTTAATGTAACTAAATTATTTTAAGCTCTCCTGTATCCAATGATATTGGTGCCAAATTTTGCCCCCTAGATCATTCAGAAATCGTTTGTAATAAGGAAAATGACACAATGGTCCCTCAACTTTCGCTCACTATGTAATGTGGTCTATGAACTTTAATTTGTTTAGTGTGGTCACTGAACTTTATCCCAATGTGCAATGTGATCCCTAAATTTTCAATTTATTCAATGTAGTCTATAGACTATTGGTAAATGTTCAATTTAGTCCTTGGACTATATGAAAATGTTCAAATTTATCCCTAATCTGGAGTTAATAGAAGGATAACATTGAATATTTTCATATGGTTTAGGGATTACATTGAACATGTACCAAAAGTTCGAAAATCACGTTGAACAAATTAAAAGTTTAGGGACCACATTACACATCAAGTAAAGATCTTTCTTAAGCAGACATTATTGATTACATAACGTGTACAGAACTTCGGTTACTATAACTTAATTAATTTAACCTCTCCAGTATTCAATGATACTTTTGGCAAATTTCGCCCCCTGATCATTCGGGAACAGTTTGTAATATGTTGCGACTGCTGATGCCCCACTTGACAAGATGGTCAATTCCCTTTTGGTCACTAGTCAATGTACCCATTTGCCCTAAAGTGACTTTTCTTCCCCGTGAAACGAGACAAAATGACATGGAAAGACGATGCTCTGGCACTTGAATGGATCTGCACCGGGGCAGATCTTGTCCGTAATCGCTTCTTTATCAATCCTTTTTCTCGTCAACCATACACGTGACATGCAGATTATATGACCTGTCCAATTTTTCCATGCACTTTTCTGGGTAAAAGCACAGCGAGAAGCAGATGTCAAACTAGTGACAACACGAGCATAGGAAATGCATCGTATGGCTGCCAAAAGAAGGTGGTCCGGGCAAGACGGAGGGAGGTCGCCAAAAGGAAATAGCATTATATTGTTGCTTTTCCATGCCAAAATCTCTTATGGATATCTCGATAGGTCATACTACGTTGGTAAAATATAAACGATACATGAAGACCATCTCACTGGAATTGAATTTCACATTGAGATATGTACCGCGAACCCGAGAGGCGATGAATGCGTTGAAGTCGGCTGATGTATTACTCGCATTATACTCACTCTTATAGGAGCAAACGGAGATCATCATTCTTGTGGTCTCTCTTTGGGGATCATCTTCTGAGTTTCATTCTCTTATTTGAGTTCTTCAAGTACTATATTAACGGTCTTCCGAGTCTCGTTGATCAATCGTTTCAGAGACAACTATCACTCTTATGAATTGGTTATTTTCATAATGTTGGTGTCACGGCCTTGCTGGAGGGTGGAACCACCTAAGGGTTGGCTAATAGAACACTAGCTCTCGACTCAGTAGGGGATCGGTGATGACATGGAAAGGGAGGCGCAATGGTGCAGCAAGCTCGACGCCGTCGTAGTGGAGGGCTGCAGCTCAACCGGTCGAGTAGCAGGACGGCAAAGTAGCAACTTCGTCTATCGTCATTGGTCGTGGAGAATCGCAGCAATGCACGATTAGACAAGGCTCCTCGGCTCAGCTATTTTGTCGTTAGTGCTGGAGCAGCGGCGCTGCTCACGGGACGGAGCAACGGCAACAGGTCCTAGGAAGCAGGGTTGGTGCCAGCGGTGGGGCTCAAAGAGCAGGCCACGATGGAGCAACTTCGCGGTGATCCTACAAGGGCTCCTTAGCTGCAGCCCCTAATTGATTAGCCAAAATTTATGTGTCAACATTTGGATCAGTTCCTTCTGTTATTAACAATAACAAAATTTGTACAATGATCAATGACGTTACTAACGCAGTGATGACCGATTTTTTTGTAGCATTCGGTACAAATTTACTGTATTAATAATTATAAGTGGCACAACTAATTATTGATTCACACATATTACCAGAGTACACAGTATGGGTATTCCTCTTTCTTTTTTTTAAATATGAGTGAAGACGAGTGTGTGTTTTCCTCTATATTGTTTTGGCCGTGAAGATCATGAGGAGGTTGAAAAGCAGCTGGGCTGCATATTCTCGCCTTACCAAACAAATGAGTTGACTTTTAGAGGAAGGGCAGATACAACTAGCTCCCACTGGGACCGAACAAAAGCAGACCCGTCTCATTTCTTTAACTTATGAACATCTACAAAATCCCAGCTTATAAGATTTCTTCATAAAGTTTTGTGGTCCCATGATCTTGCTAGTGTCTACAACACGGACAAAAACAGGCTTGATAGGGTTCGTTTTCCATCAAGAAAGCAGAAATGTCGAGTATGTACTTCGTTTCTGTTTTGTAGCACAGAAAAACTGAGTATGTAACACCAGCAGAGAGGTTTGCAGAAAGGAACTAGCATAGTCTATGTTCAAAACACTATAATCGCAAGCCCCTTCCCATGACTCGACATGATCACTTACCGGGCAACTTGCCAAACCAATTAACTATGCACGACATTTTCCCCTTCATGTGGAGCACAACCGTTTCGCCGGAATTACTCCCGCGACAAAATATAATTCACCGAACATTGTTCTTCGGCTTTTTTGTGAGAAAGGATCGGGTTCTGTGGCGATTCTGGACAGAAGATATCCAGGCAAGAAAAAGAAACTTGCTTGTTTCAATTGAACAGTATAATTTCAAGTCGTGACAAGATTCGATCGATAGTCAATTTAAACTTCATAATCAATTCAAACAAATCTGACCAGCTACTGACTGGCAGCATTACATTCGAACTCCGTTGATACCATGCTACACTGCTACTAGAATTAAAACATTGATAACTACAACTAAGGAAACTAAAAGTACAGTGTGAAAAGTTTAAAGATAAAAAGACAACATTTTGATTGTGTGTTCGAGGGCTCCCACTAGCTATCGGAAGGTATTTATATTGTAAGTGTGGTAACCATCTCCTAGTGCCATCTATCAGTCCACGTTAAATAATTGCCATCGATCTCATATTCATCGTTTATCCTTACGACACCTGTTAGTCTACGTCAAATAACTGTCATCGATCTCATCTCTATCCTTCATCTCTGTGACATCTTGTCAATTTGTCTTCAAGTAACTACTATTTGACCTCGTCCTCGTCTTGACACCTGTCCCTCTATGTCAGGTAACCGTCATCGAACTCATCCTTGTCTTGACACCTGTCCCTCTATGTCAGGTAACCGTTATCGATCCATTCCTTGTCTTGACATTTGACCCTCTATGTCAGCTAACCGTCATTGATCTCGTACAAAGCGATGTGCTTTTATTCTTGTCGATGACTTCGACGACCTGGACTTCATTCAATTAAAAGGTTTCGTCGATAATCTGCAGGAAAGATTCTCGGGCAGCAACTGTTCCCTCTTCGATTTCGGTCCTTTCAAATTTTGAACACTCAAAACTTCCTGCCAGCATGATTTAGTATTTGACAGCTGTCTAGTGCTATAATCTTCGGCAACTAAACTAATGGCTTGTGTCATTTCTCATCGATGAGCCTGTGTTTCTTTATGCAATTTTGTATTTATCTCCATTATCCTAATTTATTTTGTTATCAACATCCTAATTAATTATTGGTGTCAACAACAACATCATTTTGCATAGCAAGATCTAAGGAAGTTTCACTCGACCAATTCTAACAAAAAAAATTTCTGTTTCTTGTCATTTCTTCCGCAGATTATAGCTTTTCGTCAATGTGGAATCACCCTCCACTTTCGGAGGTTATCATCTTGCTATGAAGACTCAATATAAGCAGATGTCCAAAAGGTCAAGCAGAAACCATACTTACAGACACTAATAAGAGACAAAATAACAACAGGCGATGGGCAAATCCGCCATTAAAAGATGAAAAAACCGTCCCTATTCACCAGAGACTGCTTATTGTCTGTGGCCCGTCGTCGCTTGTATGCTGGCCGCTATAAACGACGACTGATATAATTTGGAGTTGGGCTTTCAATTTACTTGTTTCTGTTGGATGGGCAACCCAATATGGACGGGCAACCCAATATGGACGGGCCAGTAAATGTTCAAACATGTCCACTAAATTTAATAGCTAGCGTCTGGCTGACTAGAGAAGGGTGCTCCTTGTGTCGCTGAAACTGACTCTTAGGGATGGGCATTGGCTGACCATCCCTAAAATGTTGTCTTTAATTGATCCCATTTCTAGTAGCGAGAGAAGCACCGGATACCAAAAGGAATTATGATGCCCCTTCAGTCTGAGATCTACTTTACAATCAATATAAAAGACATGCTGAAATTTCTACAGGAACTTGGCTCATCCGAAAACATACTTGCTAGTCCCAGAAAGCCTGTAGCAAGACTCGTAGTTTATTGTACCTCAATATATACAGTTCGAAAACGCAAAAGCAACGTGCTGTCCTGCTGTTTCCTATTACCAGCCCCTATCTCTTTGCCATCATTGAAACTATGAATAAACCAATGTCATATCTGGCATGCACGATTTCACCAGGTTATTCGCAGCATCGGAGGAGAGTTCAGGCCAGTCTACTGTTGCTTGAACGGTTACTTCTTTCCGAAGACTGGAACCTCGAAATCATCCGACCATCTCGGGGTATAAGGATCACAAGCTCCAATGATGTCATGCTTGAAACTGTCTGCTCCAATGGCAGTAGAATCTTGTAGATTGAAGTCCATCTTGTTAAACATTATATTTGCAATGGCTCGGTCAATGACATTCGTCTCTGATTCCTTTGCGAAATTCCTCGACCTATAATAATCGGAGTCCTGGTTAGAGATTACTGCCGCATGGAATATCACCACAAGAGTGCCATCATTTTGTCTTGACAAAAGTTTCCACGTAACAGGGGACACTGAAAGTCAAGATATTGAATATCATCCTCCTTTAAGCTAATTATAATGGAAATCGGTACTTTAAAAAGTATTGCTCCTATTAAAGTCATATGAACTAAGTCGGGTCTTATGTCACAATGGCCAAAAGACAAGCGCTCAAAACTCCACACAAACCATGCCTTCGGCACTCTCACTTAGATTGTAAGATTGAATTATTCACATGTCCTTGGAGGCTTTTCCGGTCACCGATCTGTTTAGATCAGATTTCATCTACCCACCTCCGTAGCAAGAGGAAGAAATAGTCTCCTTCTAAAAGAAAGACAACAACTCATGCAAAAGCATTCGAGTGAGAAAGAATACCTTCTACTTTTAGCACTGAGTGTCCACAGTGGGGACCTTTCTGCGCTGGAGTTTCCACTATGACTCTCCGCTTCAACAGGGTGCTGCTTCGAATTATCAGCAAGGCGATACAGAGCATCTCGAAAGCATATCCGCATTTTCTCACTTAACTGTCCATATTTATATTATAAGATCAATAGACTATTATACAGACAGAGATCACAATCAAAATATTTTAGCTTTGGAGTTTGCACCTGTGCCATCACCGTTTCAAGCTCCCACAAAACATACTCTTCGGTTGACATTGTTTCCTCAACCATGGGTTGACACACTCCATATTCTTCAGATGGGCACGGAATTTTCACCAGCTGGGCCAGAGCCTTCCAAAAAAACAGTTTGTAATTTATTAGCTTAGAAATTCAGAAGCAAGAAATGCAAGTCTTGGACTTTGCCATAGCTTCCAACTGATAAAATGGGGACAATCTCACCTTTGTTGGTTGAAAATTGTCGTCTTCCATGTTGCACCAGTCAAACTGTGGCATGGTAACTCCTTGATCAATTTCAAAAGACATTGAAGGGGAACTGTTCCTTGAGATACTCCGAGAATCCATCACCTTTAAGCATGAATCATCAGCAGGCAACATGCCATGGTTGCACGAAGGACACCAGCAATATGCTCTGTCAAGAGTTTCATTCCCCGGTGAATCTACAAATAAGGAATTTCTGCATAAAAGAATCAACAGCATCAGGAGACACTATTCAAAGCTCGCATAAGCAAAATCACCTATAAAGATATTTAAGTAGTTTTAGATGCCTTATGCTCTATACAGGTCAACAGTAATTTACACAAGAAGGTTCCAATTTTGATTTCATGGTTTTGTATTAGCTCGTTCTCTGTCTATCAAAGTCAATTCTAGTGTCAACCAAAACACAGCAACTGTCCAATATTTCTACATTTTCTATGCTCTAACTTCTAAAGATGGATAAAATCAACAGCAATTGACTAGACCAGGCAGAATTTGAAGAGCTACATGGTTTCCTACATGCATCAAATCAAGTATCTTAATCCCATAAGTAGTGCTCGTACAAGAAAATGTCGTCCGTCTGATCTGCTTTGGCCAAGTCAATCTGGCAATCTGGCATGTCGACTGAAAGAACGTTCCGATGAAAAGGCCCGCTAGACAAGCCCTCACATGTGCTGGATGCGCTAGAATGGTGCCGATTGCGAGGCGAAAGTTGCATCTCTGCTTCACTGCAACTCATCATATTTAATTTGATTTCTTTATCACCGGTAACGAGGAATTTGTTTGGGGATCCAAAAGTTGGGCAGCTATATGTTCCCCAATGATGCCAACTGTTTGGCGATGGGAGCCGATCTGAGAATTCTTGTTCCTTGGGGACAACAAGAACATTGGTGCCGTTCCCATAATACCAGTCCATCAGTTTTATCTGGATGAAATTGCAGAGTGAAGTTCATAATTCAAAAGGTCTGTAAATTCGAGACAAATGTTAACTACCGCAAACAAGAAAACAGGATGCAAGCAACTTCTCGTCCTCTCACCAATACAATTACTAGTTGATGCCAGTCATCACAGCTCACCTGACGAAAATGTGGAAACGAGCTATTTCATACTTGTTGTGTGCCTTAAGTTTTTGCATTTTCACCATGTCGAAATTAAAGTGTCGCGTATCGATTATGTGCAACCGCAACTACAACTTGTTCTTTTCTCCTTCCACCATCCATTATCACCATGGTTATGACCATGCAACCATCAAGCTTAAGATATTTCTTGAAAGAGTGATTGACGGAAACAATCGAGCCTCGCCGAAGAACAAAAACTTGGCACAGATTCATGACAATAAATACCCAAACATGACAAGTGACGCAAAGCAGCAAGCATGAGAACGGTGGGTACTCCTAGGATCAGAATTAAGAGTTGCTTTTGCACGGTCTCCATAAAACTGGTTCACCAAAACCCTCATAGCTAGTCTAAACAACCATCAAAAGCTCAGGTCAATGTTCTCCATCAAATTTCTTCCTCCTTCACACAACCACGAGGTCAAAGGCACGCACAAACATTTTGGCACGATCTCAGACAACACGGCCTTAGCTGCTCCTTCAACAACGGAACGAAAACCAAAGAAAACCAAAGCTTACCTTGTCAAAGGAGAAACAGAGAGCAGCAAGACACTCGGTTCCTGAACTAGAGAGCTTAACCGGGCTCAGACGGAAAGCGCAAGGGCGATGGAAGCTTGAGATCTACGAATGAAGCTCTGCTCTTCTCTCTTGTTTTCAGCCAAGAAGAAGCAGAGGCGGCTACTTGTAGTACTCAGCTTCCGCACTTTATAATTTCCACTCTTTTCTTTTTTCTTTTTTATATCGTCTACGTTAATTTTAATTTTCTAATTCCCGAGATATTCCAAATAATTAATTAACCAACTGTTTTATGTTCCATATATATATTCGACCGCTGGATGATATATATTTCACGAACATGCGAGACAATGCGTGAATTGATTTATTAGTGTTTAAATGAATAAAATCTTATTTTGATAACAACTTATTATTATAAGGAGGGGTAAGTGCGAGCGAGCCTTTATATTTCCAGCTATTGTGGTTCAGATAAATACGGAAAAGTCCCAGTCAAAATTATTAAAAGAAAAAGAAAGAAAAGATCTTGGATTTGCACGGCGGAGAAGCAACGGGGGAGACTAGTGGCTGAGAGCAGTCCATCTAAAACTGCCACCTGATTGGCCAGCGGCGGGCCCCGCCCCCTCAATGCCAGAAATCTGTGGGGCCCACAAGGGGAGAGTTGGGTGGGGTGTGTTGGGGAGGGGTTCTGCGGTTCCGGTGACCGGGGTGAAGTGCACGCGACGACCCCGAAAAGTCACCGCGCGGCGCCCCCCGCTCGGGGCGACACGTGGCGCTCAATCCCGATCGCTCCGGCGCCCCGCGGGGGCGACACGTGGCGCGGGCGCAGCGGTCGGCGTCATTTTCTGGTTCCCCCCGGGGGGAAGAAGAGGTCAAAAGCTGGGTCGGGCGGGTCAAAGAAATCCGATTGGGCTTTGACTCGTGGAGGCCCAATAAAGTTGTCTCGGTGTCTCCTTATCCTTGTTTGCCATGTTTGGTTTTTAACAAAACCCAACTGGCCTTTCTGCCACACGTTCAAATCTCTTTTTCATTCACCAGGGTCATTTACTTCATTGTGGATTCCACCTCCCCCTTCTTCTTCTTCTTGTCCAAGTAGACCGACATGAAAGAGAGTTCGCGTCAACTGCTCCTTTTCGATTAAGGTCCTATAAATGAGCATAGGCATGTTTTTGTTCTCACCGTGTCGGTTAATATAGTGCACGAGCGAACAATACTTCAGGGACTGCAGTTTTTCCTTATTTGATGTCCATTATCGGGTCGCTCCTGTCTTTCCTAGCTATGAAGATTCGCTTTTCCTATCAAACCCTCTAGAATTGTGCTTCATCTGCAGCTCGTTCGTATTTGTTCCTTAAGTAAGTTGGGAAAGATCATTTGTGAATCCTAGATGATTGCGATGCTCTAATTCAAACAATTTAGCTTCGACCAGCTGAAGGATGTGCTCCATCTCGTTCCTACTACAATAAAATGCAAAATTTGGCTTTGTTCTGCTCTCATTCTCGTCTCCCGCTCTACACCGTCATCGAGAAAATCGCCAGGGATTCGGCCTCTGCAGCCCTCCAAAATCTTGGAAAAGTCACTGCTGGTGTCACAGAGCAGCTCAAGATCTGCACTTAAGGATGCGGACGAGAGGCAAGTCCACAACCATGAGATCAGGATTGGCTACCGAAACTCAAAAGACGGTTGCTTACAATGCCGAAGACTTGCTCAATGAGTTCCCACACTGAAGTCTCGCTTTGGGAGGCGATGCCAGGCACTCAACTCAGGAAAGAGGCAATGCGGGGACGTCAAGGTTTTCCAATCTTGGCGAGGTTGGTCACCCACTACAGAGTATAGGTAAGAAGAAATTAGATAATTTAGATTTCTCTTATTCCTCAGTTGGCAAAGGAAATTGATAGGCTCACTGTTGTTGTTGTATCCAAATTGCGAAATGAATCCTCTTGTAATTTCAGTCGTTGGCATAGGAGGTTCGGGTAAGACCACTTTGGCTAAACTCATATACAATGAAAAAAAATGTTCAAAAACTATTTCGAGGAAATAACTCGGTTATGCGCCTTTGATGATTGTGATGTGAAGAAGATTGTCGCTAACACATTGGATGCGAAACAAGATGCGTTTTTCACTGGTGCGTTGCAGACTAAGGGTGCATTTGGTTTGGCTTTTGGGGAAAGCCTTTAGGGAAATGCAAAAGCCTTTAACTTAAATGGGTTTGGTGAAATGCAAAAACAATTTGGCAAACCGTAATTGAAAAGTGCCTTAGAAAGCAACCTTGAGAAAATGCTATTTGGTAAATATATATTTGGAAAGCCCTTTGGTGTAACTATTTTAATTTTAATTTGTTTAACATTGAAAAACAAAAACAATAATTGTAATTTTTATACTTTCGCATTGAGAGTAATCTAAAAAAGGCATATTAACAAATTTATAAATAAAAAATCACTTCAAAGTGGACCTTTCTCAAATAAAAAGTGATTAATTTCATTATAATAAATATGGTCACATACATGGATCTTTCGCAAAACAAGACTGTTACTTCGTTGTCATTGGCACTGCAAATACCATGCAAAAGATATATTATACCAATTCATGCATCTTCTCACGGGCCGAAAAAGAAAAATTATGCATCTTTCTCACATCCATGCTTGCAAGTTGCGACGGGAAGAAAAACACTCGGCTTGGAAAGGCTGTGGTTCCAATTTTGATAGTCCAAATAACAACCAACTAATTGTGGCGTCTTTATCGTAATCACTAACTGTGGCATCTTTATCTCGTAACTTCGCCCTGCCATCATTAATCAAGAAGCTTATAACTTCCCCCTGTCAAAATCATTTCAAGAGCTAGTGGCATTTTTGTTTGTAAATTTGTTGGTGGTTTAACAGTAAGATCCAGCATGACTTACACTGTGTACATCAGCAAAATGAGAGAGAGAGATGTGAAAAAGTAAAGCTGTCCAATTGAAGCAGGCATGGAACTCCATTTCATCTATTAAGTTCAATTGGTTAAAGAAGCTCAACCTTTCATTGAAACAAGTTTGTTCTCGATAGTCTATATCAGTAAATCCACGATTTTCTTGGAAAGCACCCTTCGAACTAGAAATTGACATGCTTAAATTGCAGAAAATTATAAAAACTTCATTCGAAAGGTATACACTCTGAGACTGAATATTTCATCCCAACCAATAAATTGCCAGAAGCACAGTCGGCATCGATTTATTAAAGTCACCTGATTGCATATCAAGAATATCCAAAACAATTGGGTCCTTCAGCTCGACCTTCTTGTCCCACAAGCACAATTCCAACCTCCTCTATGGTCATTGTTGTCATCATTTTATTTCATAACCATCATGCACAATCTAATCTCCCTAATTTGGTGAAGGATAGCATCCGGAACATCATCCAAAGGAATAACCCACATACACCAACGAATCTTGTTTTTTACAGCAGTGTTTCTCCGGTGGGTCAAACATCTGCACCAATGATCCAAGCTCAAAACAGTGAACTAAACAAAGCTAGTAAAACTTAACACAAATAAAGAGACACAAAGCAATATCTTTTCCAACATCTTTGAGAAAGTACAGGATAGAAAAGCTAGAGATGACTCTTAAGTGTTGCTTTGATGAACCATTGCAGAGTGAAGCAACTGAGAGAAATAAAAACAGGTCAAATTCTTACAGACAAGGAGGGAAAAAAAAGCCTTACTTGACGCCATGGGGTGGGAATCTCCTGCAGTTCACATTGATGCACAACTATTCACCTAGTAGATCATCAACTGCGAGTCCAGTGCCATTAACGACCCACCATATTATTGAGGAAGGCCAACCTCCATATATAATACATATGAAAAGATGAATGATAAATAAAGTGACAGGAAGGAGAACTCATACTTTACTTCAGAAGAATTGAATCAAAGTTGAAGTCGAGAGAGAAAGGGTCTTGCCTTCGATTCTTGTTGCCTTCCAAAGAATTGAAGAGGTACTTGCCTTCACTAAGGTGAGAGTATGCGATTCTTCGTAAGGCAAGACCCACCCAGAAAGAATTGGAGAATTCATAACTTCAGTAAGATCCACTCATAAAGAATTAAAGAATTCATAACTTCAGCAAGGTCCACCCAGAAACCTGAAGAGTCGTATCTTCGATTCTCCTTAAGGCGAGTGCTTAATGGAGAATTCATACTTGCCTTCACACACACACACAACCCACAAAACCCAGATTTCAGAAAAATCGAAGTTGAAGACCAAATCGAACAAATAATGGCGTGCAGGACTGCGTTAAGTCGCGTGTTCCTGACCGAGCCTCCGGCGAGGCAAAGCAAACCCAGATCTTTCGCGACCTCGGGCAGCCCAGGCGAGGCGACACTAAGGATGGTAATTCAAGTATTTTTACGCAAAACAAGCAATTATCGACATTTCGCCAGAAACTAAACCAGATCTCCAATTCCCCTGAGCTTGACTACTGCATAAAATCCACATAGCAAATACAATCAACGCACTCGCACGAAGAAATTGCATCAAGCATCGAGAGGGACAGAGGGAGTACCTGGGAGGTTTCTGAAGATATTCAGTTATACCCTAGGCAGTTGGAGGCAGCCCAGATCGAGCGCTGGGCGCGAGGAAGATAGTGTGAGCGTTGGGCAAGAGGAAGAGAAGCGACAGCGCTGGGAGTGGGCGTGGGCGTGGGAGGAGAGAGGCAAGGAAGTAGAGAGCCCTGGTCGTTTTGCTTTTAAGGGGTAAATGTGGAATTATGATTAGTGAGTGAGGGTGAGATTGGAAATGCAAAAAATTCATTGATTCTGGTCTTTTGAATGTCGAGAAAGCCAAAAGGCCAAAGCAGGTGAGGGGAGCCTTGAGCTTAAGGCCTTGAAAATGCTAGCATTTGGAAAACGGGCTCCCAAAAATAAATGCCGAACACACTAGCATTTGCCTAAGGGCCTTTAGGCCCCGTTTGGTTCAGCATTTCCAATGCTCATTTGGGCTCTAAAGTCCCTTGGCCAAATGCAAATGGTGTTTGGTAAATTTTTTACTCACTTTGGGGAGATGCAATTGCATTTCCAATGCTCATTTGGCCAAAGCATCTTGGAAGGTCCATTGGGAATGCTCATTTTCGGAATGCAACTTGTACTGTTCACGGGAACTGTTCATTCTCCTTATAGTAACTCCGGCGGCTGGCGACCGCCGCCTGAGGGTTAGCCCTACCCCGGCGACCACCGCCTGGGGGTCGCGCGACACCGCCGACTGCCGCCTGGGGTCGCTGGAACCTCGGGCATCGTGCGGGTTGCGCGACCCCAGGCGGCGATCGGCCTGGGTCGAGCGGCCGTCAGCCGGGAGTCGCGCGACCCGAGCGACGGCCGCTGGGTCGCTCAACCTCGGGCGACGGCCGCCTAGGGTTGCGCGACCCAGGCCATCGCTGCCTGGGTCGCACGACCTCAGGCGGCCGCGACCCAGGCGATGGCCGCCTGGGGTTGCGCGACCAAGGCCGTCTCTGCCTGGGTCGTGCGAACTCAGGAGGCCCCGACCTAAGCGACGGTCGCCTGGGTCGCTCGACCTCAGGCGACGGCCGCCTGGGGTCGCGCGACCTCAGGCGACAGTCGCCTGAGGTCGGGCGACGGCCCCCGGCACCGGATTTGGCTAGCCGGCGGCTGTAGCCCTTCGCCGGAACTGTTCATCCAAAGGGTACTTTTTTTTTTAAAAAAAAAAACCTCCCAAAGCTCATTTGTAAAAAAATAACCAAACACAATTGCATTTTCTTAAATAGCTTTCAAATGATTTTTTACCAAACGCCATTTTCATTTCCCAAAGTGGCTTTCATCTAAAGGTATTTGCATTTCTCTAATGAGCATTGGGATTGCTGAACCAAACCGGCCCTTAGAGGTCCAAAGAGCTTTGCAAAGTTGTTCCCAATCGCAACCTCAGCTGAGAGAAAAAACAATTAGCAGGAAAAAGTACTTTTTTTATGGTGTTAGATGGTGTGTGGAATGAGAATGGTGAGAACTCTGACACCCTGTGGACGAACGGAGCCAAACGAGAAGTGAACAGGTTGCTAAAACAAGAAGTTCAACACCATACCCCTGGTGAGGCCTCCCGAAGATGAGGCACTGTTGCGATTAATGCGGACGGCGTCCAAACAGGAGCAAGTGCCGAAAATTAAAGTCTAGAGCAAGTCGGAAGATAAATTGTGAAGAAATGTAGCCGAAGTTCCCTCGCCGTCAAGACACTATGGCGGCACTTCTTTTCTTCTAGCGACATGGAGTGAGTTTCGATTGCGGTTCTAAGATAAAGAGCTGTCCAAATAAGCCAAGAGCAAATCGGTATTATACGACATTAAAGTTGAGTAGCACTTGTGGTGTCTCAGCCTATTTAGGGGCTATAGACCCCAAGCTCTTGCTGATTCGATAAGCAAGCAATACATTTTGCAGGGTCTCGGCGAAACAGACTCAAAGCTCTTCCTGATTCAATTTGGAGAGGCTCAATCTGAAGGGGTTGTCAAGTGGCATTGCAGAATTGACATGATCGATTCGGAATTCCTTAATACCCAAATGATATCTTTTCATGGATTAGCAATTTCATTGGTTCCCTGCATTGACGACAATCACACTATATCCATTGCAGAGTTAACAAGAGATAGTGTCGTCCGGCGGCGGCGGCGACAATGTGTCTACCGTCGTCTCAGTTGTTCTCTTTATTGCCTTCATTGGTCTCTTCACTCTCACAATTGGGGGTGACACTAATATCGGCTAAGGCATCTCTTCATTTTCCATGTTTTCGTTTTGTTGGGTCATATGTGTGCAGGAATTGGTTCAAGTTGAAATTTCTCTGATGTGGGCTTGTTGCTTAATTGGGGGGTTTGGTTCGATTTGGGTCTTTGAACAAGGGATCTACATAGAGGTGGCGGACTCTTTACAGAAGATGGAGAGCGAGAAGGACGAGGCCGCGAAGAAGAAGGTAGGAGGAAGGGGTGAATATGGGGGAGAGCCGGTAAGAGAAGGTTCGGCCAAAAGAAATGTGTGGATGATGATGACTTGATTATGAGGAGCCTGAGATTTGCCCTGCAATGTGAAGATGGCGGGGCCGGCGAGGAACCACAGCCTCTTAGAGAATTCCTGGAGGAAGTCGTCCCCCCCGCCTGATCTGGGTGATGTCGTCGGCGTGTGGTGTGAAGGCAAATGCGTTGTCGACGGTGGTCGAGAGCGGCAGGTTTCTTCATGGACAGTGTAGTCGCCTTACCATGCTCTCGCTATCCTATATCCATGTCCGATATATACCAAACGCCATATAAGATATTACAGATCCCATTATTATCCTATTCAATTTATATCATATCCAATCTTATCCCATTCAACAAAAGAATCCAAATGACCAAACTCAGCTTATGATAATGTAAGGGAAATTACAAGCTCTAAAGAAAAGTTTTCAAAGTGTATTTGAAATCTACAGAACACCACGTGATTGTCATCGTTTAGCTACTGTACTTAAGCCGATTGTCTAATAGTTCAAGAATGCTTGAATGTCAAATCCACGTAGTGATAACTCTATGAGGACTGAACACTCTGCAAACCCTCACAAGAATCAGATTGACTCATCAGCTTGATGGTGTGGACACAAATCTCTCGAGTTCATCTACGTAGTGGCCCGCTGTATAGTTAGATGGATTGTAGATTACACATTCACTATCGAGGGAAAATCCAAGAGCATCAAAGCGGCAGTTGGTTTGGAGGTCGTTCTCACAAGACGTCGAAGAGGATGAGTGGGGAAACACTGGGTAACACCATACGCACGATGTGATGCACGACCTTGCACATTCTGCAGCGCAATGAGGAATCCTTTGTAGGGTTCATCAACGAAAAATAACGCAGCGGAATATAGAACCCTAGACAAGATCCATGTGTATATTGAAATCGGAAAGGAATTTCGATACGTACCTTTTGCAGATCGAAGATAAATCAGCAACTGATTGTGTCTGGATGAGCGCCCCAAGTGTTGCGCCTCTACCGGTATCCACACACATGAACGGAATTCTTGAACGATCCACGTGCTAGCGAAAGATCTTGAAGTTCCTTTTTCTTGAACGCCTTTTGCTTTTCGATACTCTGTCGAAAAACCCTAGACAGAGAACGATTCTCTATCTATTTATACAGCCTCATTATCTAGCGGAATTAAAAGAAGTGGGCCGGGCTATTTGGGCCCGCCAAACTGTCCACCTTCAATCGTACGTTTAATCGTTATCTCATAACGCGTACGACCGCATAGATAATTTAAATAGGAGAATAAATTAAAATCTACTTCTTAAGTAGATCAAGGCGCATAGACAATATTAAGTCCGTTCGCTATTGTGTGCGACCCTGTAGGTTCACTAAATATTAGCAGTGTGCCCAAAACTCTTTTGGCCCACAAGTCATAAGCGGTCTCTAGCAACACATTATGACTACCTAAGTATAGTGAAGATCGGTTTTCCGACACAACCTAATCCACAAGTTTGGACTTTGATTGATCCACCCGAAGGTGTCAAACCTATAGGGTGCAAGTGGGTTTTCAAGAAGAAAACTGATATGGATGGAAATGTTCACATCTATAAAGCACGGCTAGTAGCTAAAGGTTTCAAACAAACTCATGGTATTGACTATGACGAGACCTTTTCGCCAGTGGCCATGCTTAAGTCCATTCGGATTATCCTAGCATTTGCTGTATATTATGACTATGAGATATGGCAAATGGATGTAAAAAACGACTTTCCTTAACGGAAAACTAGAGGAGGATGTGTACATGACACAACCCTGAAGGCTTTACATCACCAGATAACACTAGGAAGATATGCAAGCTTCAACGTTATATTTATGGATTGAAGCAGGCATCACGGAGCTGGAATATTCGTTTCGATGAAACTGTCAAAGAGTTTGGCTTCATTAGAAACAAAGAAGAAGATTGTGTATACAAGAAGTCTAGTGGGAGTGCAATTGTGTTTCTAGTGTTGTATGTGGATGACATACTACTCATTGGAAACGACATTCCTATGCTTCAGTCAGTTAAGACATCGCTAGGAAAATTTTTCTCCATGAAGGACATGGGAGAAGCAAACTATATCTTGGGGATCAGGATCTATAGAGATAGATCTAAGAGACTTATTGGACTGAGTCAAAGTACATATGTTGATAAAGTCATCAATAGGTTTAATATGCAAGATTCCAAGAAAGGTTTTCTCCCGATGACACATGGCATAAGTCTTAGCAAGACTCAGTGTCCTTCAACACAAGATGAGCGAGACCGCATGAGTAGGATTCCTTATGCATCAGCTATGGGATCCATCATGTATGCTACAGTATGCACTCGTCCTGACGTTACTTATGCATTGAGCATGACAAGTAGATACCAGTCAGATCTAGGGGAACCTCACTGGATTGCTGTCAAGAATATCCTTAAGTACTTGAGAAGAACTAAGGATTTATTCTTAGTCTATGGAGGTGAGGAACAGATCACTGTAAATGGTTACACTGATGCTAGTTTCCAAACCGACAAAGACGACCTTCGATCGCAGTCAGGTTTTGTCTTTTGCGTGAATGGTGGAGTGGTGTGCTGGAAAAGTTCCAAGCAGGAAACTCTTGCAGATTCTATGACAGAAGGTGAGTATATTGCTGCTTCAGAAGCATCAAAGGAAGCTGTTTGGATTCGAAAGTTCATAGAA